CTACTTGGAAGGCTGAGGCGGAAGAATCGCCGGAGCCCAGCAGATCGAGCCTGCGGTGGCTGGGAGCATACCATGGCACTCCAGTCTGGGCGACAGAGTGAGACTCCAACTCAAAAAATAATAATAATAATAGGGGTTTCAGAGCTGATAGATTGAAGAGTTCTGCATTGACCACCAACTCCCTCCGTGGCCTCTGGCAAAATCATACAACCTCTCTGGGCTTCTGCTGTGAGGAATAGATGGCCTAGGGACCTCATCCAGCACTAAGTCTCCTTCACTGACTTATTCAGACGTCTGAGTGACCAACATGGCCAGGCACTGAGGTAGCTACTAATGAAACAGAGACCTCTGTTCTTAAGGAGAGAACATCTTTGATGTGGTTGCAAACAGCGCTCTTTCCCATTTACCCAAAGGTTTGAGCACCAATAAATCATCTCAGAGAATGCCTACAAGAAAAAAAAGACAGGGACACACTCCCTGTAAAAGGGACGAAGCAGAGATTAGAAAGGACTTGGTTTAGAGCATCTTTCCAGGAACAGGTCAGCTTCTCCGTGATTTCCCACAGAACAAGGAGCATAGTTGAGAGGAAAAATATCTAGAAAAGAAAAAAAGGGGAGAAGAGGCTGGGTTTGGTGGCTCAGACTGTAATCCCAGCACTTTGGGAGCCCACGGGTTCGAGACCAGCCTGGGCAACTTGGCGAGACCTCGTCTCTTCAATAAATCAAAAATTAGCCGGTCATGGTAGCGTGCGCCTGTAGTTCTGGCTACTTGGAAGGCTGAGGCAGAAGGATCGCTGGAGCCCAGCGAGTTCACACTGGGGTGGCCATGAGTATGCCACTGCACTCCTGCCTGGGCAAGAAAGTGAGACTCCTACTCAAAAAAAGGGGGGTGGGGGGAGAAAAATTAAACGAGAAAGGAGATGTGGAGGAAGAAGAGGGACAGCTAGTGCTCCATGTGCTGGGTAGACCTATTGCCCCCCAGAAACCTCCATGCCAGGGCTTGAAGTTCTATCACTGGCAATTCAACCACCATTTGTCTTCAAAATTGCAAGGGAGGAAAATTTGTACTAGGGTACTGTCCAGCTTTTGTCAGCAACCCCCTTAGAGGCTAAGGCTAGGATACATGGACTGAGAATACAGTAAGTATCCACAAGATGGCGAGAGGGCAGGTCAGACATGGGCCTACGAGGGCAGACCAGAACCTGGCTGAGATGTCACGCCATGGTACCTGCTGGGCCCAGGGTCATGCTCCCTTACTAGAGAACATGAGAGCCAGAGCCCCCTCTGGGAAATGGGAATGTGGAAGTTCTGACACCTCCTGAGTCGAGTCCTCCCTGCCTTCCCTCCTAGTTCAATGCCCCCTTTGATGTTGGAGTCAAGTTGTCAGGGGCTCAGTACCAGCAGCACAGCCAGGCCCTGGGCAAGTTTCTTCAGGACATTCTTTGGGAAGAGGCCAAAGGTAAGTCTTTGCCTTTGTCAGGTTAATTCCGTTTCCTTGCAGTGCCAAATGTAAGCCCACCCTATGGGTGACATAAGAAAAATTTTCTTCCCCAACCACTGCCTCTCAAAGAGTTTCTAATTCCTCTTTCCCAAGTATCTGCCAGATGGGCTGGTATTGTGAATGGCTCAGAAGGGGAAGAGCATAGTCTTTGTATTCAAAGAACACTATACGTCCAAGAACTATACGTTAATCATCAGCAGGGTCCCAGTTGAGCATAACTATGCAAAAGCCCTGACTTTGGAAGCACACATCTGCAAGGCACTGTCCTCACCCACATGGTGACCCCTTCCTCCCCTGGTGGGCAGCACTCACCCTGCTGTGCAGATGAGAAAGCCGAAACTTGGAGCTATGAGGTGCCTTGCCCAAGGTCACAAAAGCCCACACTCAAATGCCTACTTCTGACTCCAGGGCCAATGCTCCCCACCCCACCCCCATGTCTCCATTATAACATACCATCTCCAGAATCAATGCAGTGGAAGAAAAGCCATCCTGCATGGTACTGGCAGGATGGCAGACCTGGGATTTTGACTTGACCTCTTGCTTTTCAGAGGCCTCGACTGACAAGTGATCACCCACAAGACTGGCTCACCTCCTGATTTTCCTCTCAGCTCTATCTTCCCAGGCTGAGAAGCTCTTCAATTTGCCTCTGCAACAACTCCCAATACTGTTGTGCTGTCTTAGGAGGTGAATAAATGCTCAAACCACATGCCAAATGTTCAAAATGGGAATTTATTTCAAAGAGGAAAATTTCACATTTCACTAAAAAAAAAAAAATCAATAAAAAAATTCTTGGTCTATGGTCAGTGGGAAGAGAAAAAGGGACATGCCTCAAGGCAGGTGTGCATGCTTAGAAAATCAAAATGAAACAACTCATTCAAGCAAATAAACCATTGTATGTATGTACTGTATTGAATGTGTGACAAGAGGTTTCTTAAGGAAGAGGAAGAAGAGGAGAGAAAGCGGGGAACAGCCAGGCATGGTGGCTCACACCTGTAATCCCAGCACTTTGGGAGGCCAAGGCAAGAAGATTGCCTGAGCCCAGGGGTTTGAGACCAGCCTGGACAAGTTGGTGAGACCTTGACTCTACAGTAAATAAAAGTAATTAGCTGGGCATGGTGGCACACACCTGTAGTTCCAGCTACTTGGAAGGCTGAGATGGAAGGATTGCCTAAGCCCAGCAGGTCAAGGCTGTGGTGGCTGTGAGCGTGCCACTGCACTTTAGCCTGGGTGACAGAGTGAGACTCCAACTCAAAAAAAAAAAAAAAAAAAAAAAAAGAAAGGGGGAATGGTGAAAGAGGAAGGAAAAGAAGAAGAATAAAGACCAGTTCCTTTAAATATTAGAGAATGACGGCAAAGTTGTAAGTCAGCAAGGGTAAAGAAACGTCAGATGACATAATCAGAGCCAACATCCACTCAAGATCAGTCAATGAGAGAATGATGGAACACTGCCAAAGAATGAATCTGAAGTTGACATAGCAAGGTGCCAAACTGTGGCTCTTAGGCACTGCTAGACAGGGCTGACATAACTACACTCTCCTTCCTACTCTCCCATACTGAAAAGGCCTGGCAGATGCCCCATGAGGCGAGGCTGGCCATGGCCTTGGTTACCTCACCAATACCAGGTAGGCGTCCCTGAACACTTCTCTCATCTCCAGCTCACAGCTGAAATGAGCCTTGAGCCTTGAGCCTCGCAACTTAATTCCAGTTAAGACACCAGTCTTCTGGGGAGGAAGGTCACGCATCAGTATGTCCACCTTATGGTAAACGTGTAAACAGATTTCTAGGTGCTAATGATGGATGGGACACATTACTAAGCAGGGGAGGCAAAGAACAAGGAGCACCAAAAATAAGCACTGCCCACTTGCTAATGCAGATATCTGAACCCTTATTAGAAATACGAAAGGAACCCTCTACAGAGAGCTGGGTAATGTCTACAACCTGGAAAACCCCTATCACAGAGGTCTCCAAGGGCCAAGTGTCTCCTTTAGTAAAATTCTGGCCACCTAGCACTCATGGCACTAGGACTGATCAGACGTAGCAGGCACACCAAAACCCAACTAACTGTCCTTCCTCATGGAGGAACTGTGTGTGGTCCTTGAACACACCACATTTGGGAACTTCTTAGAAATACAGAATCCTGGCTAGGCTTGGTGGCTCCACCCATAATCCTAGCACTTTTGGAAACCGAGGTAAGTGGATTGCCTGAGCCCGCGGGTTCGAGGCCAGCCGGGGCAACTTAGTGAGACCTTGTTTCTACAATAAAATTTTAAAAAACAAGCCGGGCATAATAATCCACGCCTGTAGTTCCGGCTACTCAGAAGGCTGAGGCAGAAGGATCACCAGAGCCCAGTAGTTCGACGCTGGGGTGGCCATGAGCGTGCCATGGCACTCCAGCCTGGACGATGGAAATAGACTCCAACTAAAAAAAAAAAAACACACAAAATAAATTTTAAAAAAACAGAATCTTGGACTGCACCCCAGCCCACTCATTAATCAGGGTCTGCAGTTTAACAAGATTTCCAGGCTATTAAATGGCTTATTTTAAAAGGCTGAGAAGAAACTGGAACCTATTCAGGCAACACAGCACACTGCAGGGTCAGTGGCTCAACCTCGTATGGAAGAGGTGTTAACTATCATAAAACTCAAGAAGATTCAGACCTGGCCAGGTGGAATCTGCAACAAAGCTGGGAAAACATGCAAGTGTCCTATTTGTTCTCACCTACCTTCCCTCAGTCTCTTTAGTCCAGCTCTGCTGTCAGCTCCGTGTTTATCCTTTGGGTAGACAACACACACGTGCATACACATATCCCTTCCATCGCTAAGACAACTATAGATATCTGATTATATGATCACACAATGACTCAGTTCACTGTCCTTGCTCCCGAAAGCACCTGCCTCTAAGATTCAGTGAGAACACAGATGGAAAGATTTTGTCATCGTTAACTTTAGCCTGGGCTCGGCGGCTCAGTCTGTAATCCCAGCACTCTAGGAGGCAGAGACAAGTGAATTGCCTAAGCCTGCGGGTTCGAGACCAGCCCAGGCAACTTGGCAAGACCTCGTCTCCACAATAAATCAGAAATTAGCTGGGCATGGTAGCGCATGCCTAGTTCCGGCTACTTGAAAGGCTGAGGCAGAAGGATTGCTGGAGCCCAGCAGGTCATTGCTGGGATGAATGTGAGCGTGCAAATGCACTCCAGCCTGGGCAACAGAGTGAGACTCCAACTCAAAAAAAAAAAAAAAAAAGAAAGACTTTAAGGTACGGAAGAGTAGGGGAAGTAGGGCAAGAAAGAAAAGTAGAAGGAAATGGCCTCCCTTGGCTTCCAGATAGCTGTCCCCCATCTCCCCAGGCACCTAGCACAAGTGTGTGCAGAGATCAACACACTTGTCCTGGAGCTTAACCATGTCACTTAGTAAAGCTGCAACCCTCACTGTCACTACCGTGCCCACTGCCTTCTTCTCACTGGCTAGAGAAGAAAATCCAAGGCCCCAGCATGGCCACAGTGGCCTCGGAAACCAGCTCCTGACCTAGTGAATAAGCATCCACTGATTGGGGATGGGGAGGATGGATACCAGACCCTGGACAAATGCTGGGTACCTGAAGCTTTCCACACGAGGAGGACCAGAACACGCTTCTCTTCCAAAGTACTCACAGCATTCTCCCCATTTACTCAGGTCATTCATTCAGAAACAAACAGCACCCACTCTAGACCAGGTGTACCAGGCAACCGGGGTGGTACAAAGCTATGGGCTTTGGTCTCAGACCTGAATTTGAAAACAGCTGTGGCATCCAAACCAAGATACTGAATTTCTCAGGCTCCTCACATGTAAAACACCCACCGTGAAACTGAACAGGGTATCTCACACAAGAGCACCTAGCACAGAGTAGGCACTCAATTATTATAATGGCCACCACTTACTGCATCCCTCTTGATCACCAGGCAAAATACTTATATAAGTTAATGTAATTTCACTTCATGCAAAGAAGAAAAACTAAAGTTCAGAGAAATTAAATAACTTTCTCACGGTCACACATCAAACACACAGACTTACTGCCAGAGCCTAGTGCTCAGATGCATGCTTTTTCCATCATACTCTACCACCTCTCAGTGTTGCTTCCCCTGCCCTACTGCCTAGGATCCAAGGAATTTCTGATTTTATTTTTCATTTCCCTTCATAATACATTGGGTGAACTTGGTGGTGGCATGAGGACAATTTCAAATCAACAAAGGGCAGAGACAAAACTTATCAAAGGAAATGGTTAGGGAATACCCCTGAGGGAATCTATCATTTCTGTGTCAGCTTTCTTAAACCTACTTCTTCATGCACTGTTTAATGACACTACTAACTTAGGGGTCTCTAAAGTGGGGTGAATACCCTTAAGGGGAGTGCAGTATTTGCTGGAGAAAAAATTATCCTTATGAAAAAAGCTTCTGCTTTGGGTTTCATAGTTAGATAACAGCATGTGTGCCCAGGCTGGAGTGCAGTGGCATGCTCACGGCCACCGCAGCCTCAACCTGCTGGGCTCAGGGGATCCCTCAGCCTCAGCCCCCCAAGTAGCTGGAACTACAGATGTGTGCCGCCATGCCCGGCTAATCTTTTGATTTATTGTAGAGACAAGATCTTGCCAAGTTGCCCACGCTGGTCATGAACCCCTGGACTCAGATAATCCTCTTGCCTCTGCCTCCTAAAGTGATGGGATTAGAGGTGTAAGCCACGATGTAAGGGACCCATGTGCTTATTATGTACTTAGAGGCATGCTCAGAAATTCTCTTGAGAGTGCACCAATGGAAGAGCTAAGACACCTCTACACTAAACGACCTTAATCCAGATCCAGGTTCAAATGTCACTGACAAATGGACATTTACAGCGATCATGACACGGGCTGGTGGGTCACTAACCATCATCTTTGACAGAGTTTACTTATTTGACACTGTATATTCCAGGGGCCATTTGCCTTCATTTTATAAAATGAATGAAGCAAAAACAGAAGTGCTGACAGTAAATGACTAGTACCGGTCCCAAATGTAATACAGAAAGAAAGATGGAAACACCAGAAAAGCTGAGAGCAGATCACCAGCCACAGACTATCACCATGTGGACAAAGTTGACTGTGTACTTGACCGAGAAGGTACCGAGACACAGTTAAGGAATATGCTGAAAATACGTACTCAATGACTGTGCCTAAAAGATGAGGCAGCAACAGAGACTTCAAAGTTGTTGAGCATTCTTGGAAGAGAGCCTTCCTTTTTCCATGCAGGTTTATTTTTTGGCAGGTGCACCTGTGTTCAAGAACACCTCAGTGCAGAACCGGAGGACTGACTGCAAGCAGCCAAGCAGAATCTTCTCCAAAATTTACAGAGAGGCATCAGGAGTTCACAGTCCAAAGCCCACGACACAACTGATTCATCAACACCCCCAGGGACTAGATTTGTCTTCCTCCTACAGCCTTGCTCTGGAAACAAAAAAAGAAGGGACCCAAGTACTTTTCAAAGGTTAAGAAGCAATTCTGAGTTCCCAGGCTATAAAATGAAAGTTAACACTCCAAGGCAGAACTTTTAAGCAGGTACCATATATTCTTATGTGTGGTTTAATTTTACAGAGGCATACACTCGAGGAAGTCTCCAGATATTTGGATTATCGGGTTACAAAGCTGGTCAAAAACCTGACTAAACCACTGTATCACTCAGAGCAATCTACACAAACATGGACACCCTGGGAGTTGGCTAGAAGACCCATCACTTTATTCAGAAAAAGATGGCCAAAGAAAGGAAAAAACACAGGGACATTCCAGCATCACAGCAAACACAATCATTAAGTCAATCATCCAAAAAACCGAATCAAAAACAATGCCAACCAGCTTTCACACCCACACAGGTAAGATTTCACTGTGTCACAGCACATAAATGATAATCCTAAAGCCTAGAGAGAAAAGTAGATAGCACCTTGTGCTTTTCCTTGGCATGTGAGCTGCACAGGCTTGAAGTCATTCTCTAGTCATCACTTTTCATCCTCTGATGCAGGGCTAGTTGGTTTCACATGTAGGCAGTATTGACTTACGGGGCTTGCTGTAGAGGAGATAGCTATGCTGCAGTTCACTTGGGTGACAATAAAGCACTCTGATATACTTAGCAGTCTCCCCAAGTCTTCCAAGCACATCAAGGTCCCCAATTTCCCCTCAGGGGCAAATCTGAGGCACAGAAAACCTAACAGCACAGATGCTCCATGAAGACAGACAGTGAATCAAGGCCTACTTCCCAGGCCAGTTACTTGTGTAACAAGGGCAAGATGGAAATCCCAGATAGGAAACAGTAAATCCATTCTATTCCATTTTAGCTTACAAGGCTCAAATGTACCTTTCCAAAACACCAGAAGAATCTACCAGAAGTGATAGATTTAACAATTTAAGAAACAGACAAGGGTCTCTGGGTGGCTTATCTCTCTCACTGCAGTTAGGGTGAAGGATCCTTTTAAACAAAGTGCAGAGTCTCCTCACACTTAACCCTTGACCATTATTGCCTCCAGGGCCTGTAATGATTATCTTTACAAGGCATCAGCAAGGGCAGAGCAGAGCTCAGAACTTGAGATGATATGGTTGTTCAAAATCAAAGGAGAGGCTCTCACTTCTAGAACATGGAGAAAGACGGGACACATAAGAGGCAAAGGCAAGGGAAGCACCCAGGAGAGGGACTGGTACATTTATAGACACCAGGCCTGCTTGTTCTGCATAGACAATATAAAACTGCTGAGTCAACCCAGCAGAGCTCTGAAGAATTAAATAGATTTATCTCAACCTGGGTGGGACACACATGGGCCTGTTACATGAGGTGAAACCCAAGGATTATTTTTGGTAAGGGGAAGTTGGGTCCCATGACACCAGATTAACAGGTAGCATCTACTGTAGACTGAACCCTTGTCAGTTTGACACACCCCAGCAGCAGCCCAAAAAGTTCCCTAGAAGGCCTCTTCCTTGTGTTCCCCGTCTGTCCTGGATCTCCATCAGTTAGGACTTTCCACGGACAATGAATACTCTGTGCACACTTCCACATTGATGGCAGTGGAACCAACGAGAACAGCAGTTGAAGTCCTTCCGTATGTGCTTATGCTGGAGTTGACACCGGAATAGTGACAGCCACACTGAGTTCTCCAAGGAAGGAAGGAGAATGACTTCACTGGTTGCAAGAAAATAAACCTCTGAGGCAGGTCTCCAGTGAATTTCCCGCAAGAGATTTCCCACTTGGGAGTTGGTTTTTTAGAACTGAGAACCAGGAACTGAGTTACACACCCACATGTGCTTAGATGAGTAGGAGGGTGACTTTATTCACAGCCTGCTCAAAAACACAGGCTGCGGAGAACAGGACTTGGATTGGCAAACTCACTGTACCCTTATATCGCACTTTTTCTTCTTCACTGCCTACCCTGGAGCATTTTGGCTGGGTGGCAAAACCTCACTGCTATTAGGGGCAGTTCCCCTTATCCCTAATCCCACACCCACCCCACCCACCAACCATAATCTGAAGCCTTATGGAGAAGTTTCAAGAAAAACACCCTGTTCTGTTTTCTCTATTCCAGTGGGCTCTCCAAACACATCCGCGATGTGGGACACAGGCAGAGTTCAAACCCAGTCTGTGTAATGTCAGACCGCTGGTCGCCCTGGAGGGTGGAAGAGAAAAGAAAAAAGTTCCAAATGAAGTTCAAGCAAAACAAAACTGGCTAAATTGTTCACACTGTTTACATTCTCTATATAAAGAAAATGCAGCAGAAGACTTGCTTGTCCTGATTTTTTTAAAAACATAATATGAATTTTATGACCTTTTCTGGGAGACTCCTGACTGTGCACTCTCAGTTTAAAGATTGTAGAGGCGACTGGTGTTCTCACGCAAGATGGCCAAGGTGCGGGAGAGCGGCTGGTCTTTGATCCTGGCAATCTCTCGAACTGTATGCAAGGCCAGGCCTGGGTGGGCATACTGGCAAAGGCTTTTGGGAACCTGGAAGACAGCAAGCATTCATAACATCACTGTGTCTTCTGTGCACAGCCATAATCTAAACTCCCTCCCTATCCCTTCCCCAGCAAGGACCTCTTTGGGGCTGCCCTGTAGAGACCCCTTTACCTGCAGGTGCAGGGAGAGTCCTAGTCATGGGGGCTCTGGGTGAGCAGGGTCCCACGCTTCCTTGGACTACCCTCTACAGGGTAGGGCTTTGCACTGCCTGGAAGAGAGTGGTTACCCTTCAGCTTCTCAGCCCCCTAGACCTTTGGTTCTGCAAAGCAACACAAGGAGACATCTACACAGTCCAGGGTGGGACCTGGCAGTCACTGGGGCTCTGGCCCTGCCAACCTTGTAGGGGTGACCACCCAACCTCCCCACCCTCACTCCTCAGTGTCAAAGCACAGCCTGAAGACACCCCTACCTGACGAGGGAGGAAGTAGGGAGCATCAGTTTCCACGATGATTCTCTCCAGTGGGATCTGTTTCAGAGCTTCCCGGGCCTCCCAGGCAGAGGAGTATGTCAGGACTGCCGTGAAGCCCACAGACATGTTTGGAAAGTACTTGAGCAGGGGCTCGATGACTGGGTAGCTGCCAGTGAAGCAGTGCCTGAGGGGAGAACTTTGGATCAGGACACACTCCCAGCCCCTTCTATAGCCATCCCAGCTCCCTCTAGACCTACTTCTCCTTTTCAGCAATTCCAAGAAATGGAGAGACTGCATCCAAGAGAAGAACTCTGCAGTAAACAAACAAGAGCTGGCCCCAACACGTAAGATCCAAGATGACACTTGGTGAGCGAGGCTACATAATCATCTGTATACTGCAGAATTCTATGCAGTCACTGGACACAATCACCACAAGGGATACACAGCAACAATGCAGGGATAGGCTATGCTTGTAACATGCAAAGAGCAGCAGCATAAAAAATGGTGGTCCCTCTAAGATGGTAACTACAGCATATAAAAATTATGCCTTTATGTCTATGTTGTCAAATGAACTGGAAAGAAACAAAAATGCAGAGACTGGGGAGTGGACTACAGGCGAATTTTCTTCTTAATTTGATACCTGTTCATGTTCTTGGTGCAATATATATTGTTAACCAACCTAGAAATTCAGGACTTCCTCCAGTCATTACACCTAATTGGATTATCTTAGCCCTGGTCTACCTGCCACCATTAGATTTCCTTTAAAGTCAGCCCAAAATGAAGCAATAAGACAGCAACCACCCAGAAGGTATGCACCCCCACAGCCAGGGGCCAGAGGCTCTACTCATTCTGCTTTTGGGCTCTACCCAAAAGGCCTGACAGCCCCATGCCCTTCTGCCATCTGACAGAACCTAGTTGGGGAGTCAGAATCCTTTTTTTTTTTTTGTCAACCCCTCTCACCCATGTTTAAGTAGTTAGCCCAGGCATCGCCACCTGACTCTTCTAGCCAGGCTAAGCTGAACAGCCCCACTCTGGCTCCCACATACCTGTGCCCACCTCAATCCCACAATCTATGTACACAGAAGCCACCCACCAACGCATCTGTCTCCCAGCTTCTCCTCTGGGTGACCCTAGAGACAACCCAGGCCTAGCACATACATGTGGTAGGAGTTCAGAGTCTACCAAACTGGACTTAAGAAATTCTATATATCATTCAGATAAAATACAGCCTCGACTTTAATGAAAACTAGGGGCCGGGCTCAGTGGCTCAGCCTGTAATCCCAGCACTTTGGGAGGCCGAAGTGAGTGGATTGCCTGAGGCTCTTCAGGCTCAGTCCAATTTCGAGACCAGTCCAGGCAACTTGGCAAGGCCTCATCTCCACAATAAATAAAAAATTAGCCAGGCATGGCAACGTGCACCTGTAGTTTCGGCTACTTGGAAGGCTGAGGCAGAAGGATCGCCGGAGCCCAGCAGGTCGACACTGAGGTGACTGTGAGTGTGCCACTGCACTCCAGCATGGGCGATAGAGTGAAATTCCAACTCAAAAAAAAAAAGAAAAAGAAAAAGAAAAAGAAAAAAGAACCAGGGAGAAAGGAGCTTTCAAATTCAAAAAAGGAAAGAAAATGTCTTCTCCAGTACTCCAGAATGTTCTGTGTGCTAAGCCACTGGACTCCACAGCAGCCTCTCCCAAGATCATCTCACTTTTGAGAATGCAGACTACATTTCAGTCTGTCTTCCTCCCGGGAAGGGGCTCACAAAAGTCCTTTTCTTGCTCATTGGTGATTTAGCTTGAATTACATGAAGCTGCCATTTTGTAAGCCAAAAATGGTCAAATAGCAGAAATTTCATATCTTAAGTCTTTAGAAAAGGGAGTACATAAAGACAGATTATCAGCAAAGTACAGTGGCTCATGCCCGTAATCCCAGCACTCGGGAGGCTGAAGTTGAGCATCGCCTGAGCCCAGGAGTTTGAGACTAGCCTAGACAAGACCTCATCCCTACAAAAAGATAAAAAATTAGCTGGGCATGGTGGTACATGCCTACAGTTCCAGCTACATGGGAGGTGGAAGTGGAAGAATCGCTTGAGCCCAGCAGTATGAGGCTATGGTGAGCCAGGATCATGCCACTGCACTTCAGCCTGGGCAACAGAGTGAGACCCCGACTCAAAAAAATAAAGACAAATTGTCCTCATTGAGCTTTTGTTTTTCCAAATAACATCCTAGACAGAGAGAGTGTTTCTTTCATCTGCCCTGAAGTTCCAGCCTTCTAACCTATGGATCTTGTAGTCAGAGGGCACAAATTTTTTCATGATGTCTAGCAGATCTTCATCAGCTTCCCGGCAGTGAATCACCAAAGGCTTCTTCAGAGACACAGCCAGCTGCAGCTGTCTCTCAAATACCTAGGAGAAAACACAGTGACAACCCTGCTGGTTAGTGGTACTGCAAAAGTCCCATGAACACCCAGCACCCCCACTGTCTCCAATCTTTATTTTTAAACTGTGCAATGCAATAATAACGGCCAATGCTTATTAGGTGCTTACTATAGAGCCAAGCAGTGCTCAAAGCATTTGAGGTATATTATAACCTGTGATCCTCACAACCACTCCAAGGCAGGTACTGCTGTTAGTGCAGCGTGGAGTGAGGGCAAGTTAACTCAGTGCTAGTAAGTGCTAGCACAAGGATTCTCATTTGAACCCAGCTAGTCCACACAGCAACCATTATACAATGCTTACCTGGGGTTGCGAGGGCAGGGCAGGGATCAAGAACGTAAAGTATAAAGCTAATGTCCTTCGCCTCACTGCCCCCACCTCCACTCCTATGAAGTACCCATTTCCACATCTTTTCCACTGCAGAGCCATGTCTATGTGTATATGAAAATATAGCTCCAGCACAATATCTGGCTCTCAGAAGATGTTCAAATATTTGTTGAAAGAATACTATACTTATTTTCTACAACTTGTTTTCTTTATTCAACCAAAACTGGATATCTTTCTAGGTCAATATCTACAGACATACTCCATTCTTTTTAATGCTAGCCATATTTACTATTTCTCATAAAAGATGCAAACCTAACACTTTTAAATATTCATTAGTAAAATACATATATAGTTAATAAGCAAAATGAGAGAAGGAGAGACAAAACCTGTTCTTTCCTCTAACAAAGCCAAGTGTAGAACACAGAACAAAAGTATTAACTCAGTATAAGCTAAATTACCTCATCTTAATGTTTCCATGAGTTTTCACAACTGCAGAATATAAATTCATGTTTGTGTTTTTAGCATCAAATAATGAGTGCTTTTGGTTAATTTGAGTCAGATGATGTTCACTTGAGGACATTTACAAGTCTAATGCTTATACTACCCCTTCTCAAAATAGCAACACTAAGCCAATCCCAATTCTGATGTAACTTTTGTTTAATCTGGGTTTTCAACTAAAGGAAAATGACCATAGACACCAAAAGTATAGAATGCTTGGCAGGAGCTTTAAAGACTAGCTAGTACCAGTATCTGTGGGTGGCTGGAGCCTCCCAGATGCAGCCGCTAAAGTTCTCATCTGTCTTCCTTTGACCCCTACAAAGGCAGGAGGTGTCAAGAGATTCCATCTTTTAATGTCTTTTAAAAATTATTCCTTAGAGTAGTTAAGTAAACTATCATAGCCTTGAGGTGGAATATTACACAGCTGTCAAAAAATATTTTTCAAAATATAGTTAATAAAATGGGAAAATTTCACAAGTGGAAAAAATATTCAAAACTATTTTGTCTTAATTTCCTAACTCTTTTTTTAAAAGCACATATATCATACATACAACACCCATTTCCTTGATCCTAAGACAGGCACTTGTAAGACATACCACTTTGCAACTGTTCCTTGTACTCGTATTGTTCCTTGCAACTTTCCAAGACATAAAGCATTAAATTTACAATGCTAGGCCAAGCGCAGTGGCTCATGTCTATAATCCCAGCAATCTGGGAGGCTGAGGTGAGAGGACTGTCTAAGCCCATGCGTTCAAGACCAGCCTGGGCAACTTGGCGAGACCTCATCTCTACAATAAATAAATAAATAAATTAGCCGGGCATGGTGGTATGTCTGTAGTTCCAGCTACTTGGAAGGTTAAGGCGGAAGGACTGCCTGACCCCAGCAGGTCAAGGCTGCAGAGGCCGAGAGTGTGCCACTGCCCTCCAGCCTGGGTGACAGAGTGAGACTTCAACTTAAAAAAAAAAAAAATTATAGTGCTTTGTAAAACACATCAAAATTTCAAAAATGTTAAGATGGAAGAACTTATTAGAATGCAGAACCTATGGAGCTGTGGAGTTATCTACAGCATTTGTTCTCAACAGGATGCGGCTGAAAAAGAACAGGAGTGAATGAAGGGCAGAGAAGTTATCTACCCAGTATAATTACTCTCTTCTGCCCCCTTAAGTGTGGGTTCCCAACTGATCCATTATTGCCAGGGATTCCAGAGTTAATCAATCTCTCCCGGGGGTGGCCCCAGGCATCTCTTACATATTTAGCACCTCAATAATTAATTCCAGTCAAACACAAATAGAAATGCAGCTGGGTGGGGAAGGACACCCTGGCATCTCTCCCAGGTGCTAACGAATTCTGATCATCATACTGGCTGATGTGTGAATTATTGAGATTTTAACTCTTTGGAGTTAAATAGTTAACAGATAAACAAGGAAAACATTAACACTGGTTTGTCCTAGGTAGCAGGATAACTATCCATTCCCTCCCCCAATTCTTTTGCTTTTATTTTCCAGTATTTCCAAAAAAAAAAAAACCAAAAAAACCTAGGTATAAAAACCAGGCTCTCTCTCCTAAGAGCCAGATCTGGCACGCTATCAACGTGACAAAAGAGTCCTTCCGTAGGCTTTTCTTCCTTGCTTTGCAAGATAAAACATTCAGCAGGACACACCGAACTCTTGCTGACCACTCTGCTTTTAGAGAAATGCGACTCAGCACAGACATCCAACTTATGCTCTTGCTCATCACTACCATTCACCTCATTTTAGATCGACACCAAGAACACAGCATCCACTCTGTCCATCCAGCCTGGGAGTGGCCAGTGCTCACAGAAGCATTTTCTAGTCTTCCTCTCCGTTACATGCAGTTTTGCCCTACCCCAGTCAGCAATGTATTTCCTGACTGGTCGTTCCAGTCGAGTCACATCTCTCCAGACCAAATGCTACCTGCAAGACAGTATGTATCACCCTGTGCTACCACTTCAATTTAGTCTGTTGTGCAGCATGACCTATGCACCTTGGTGTGCAGATCCATCTGAGACCCTGTCAGTTCACTAAAAGGAAAAAGTGACTACGAAATACAGAGCACATTTCCTGGCACCAAGGAGGCATTCAATAAACATCAACCTGACAATTAAACATGATGTTTCTCTGAGTGAACATTTCTTAACTGCTCTTCCTTCTACACCACACCTGCCCTGCACCATAGGAACCAGCTGGGAAAGCAGAGTGTTAAATATATGTCCCATTTTCCTAAAAATCTATCTTTTCCTGTGTGTTCAGATTTAGTTATTTTGCTATTCATTCTTTTTTTGTTTTGGTTTTTTTTGAGTTGGAGTCTCACTCTGTCGCCCAGACTGGAGTACAGTGGCCGCTCCCGGCCACCGCAGCCTCGACCTGCGGGGCTCGGCGATCCTTCCACCTC